TAAAAAATATTTATTTTAATATATTTTAAAATAAAAAATATTTTAACAAACAATCAAGATCACGCTAAATAGGTGTGAGGTGCGGGCATGGAAGATGAACTGATATAAAAACTTCAATTACAACTAAAGATAAACAACGAAGAAAAAAAGTTGTTAAAATGGCGATTTCTGCTAAGAGCAGGTGGTGGGGTATAATGTTCTCCAAAGTGAAGTTCTCTCGAGGGTAAGGTATTCCTCAAAACTAGTCGACCACCTCTGAATAGTAGGTCCCACCGCCGAAAACTATTCACAGACGGGGTGTTTCCAAAAAGGAGCCGCTCCAGCTATATGATATACTGCTATAAAAACTTTAATCACAACCAAAGATAAACAGCGAAGAAAAGGATAAACACTGTTCGAGAGGGGAAAAAAGGTAAACAGTGTTTGAGAGAGGCAAAGGAGGAGGTCAGTAGTGTTTGAGAGTAAGGAGACCACAGAAGGAAGAGGACTGCAGTGTTTGGGGTGTTCAGCTTCGCTTTTGTAAATCGCGATTCGTGATATAAGAAAAAAATTCTTGCTTACATTTTTTTTTTTTCTGTCACTGCTAACCTCAGGGTATAATCACATAACCAATACTTCGACCTGCAAAATAGAGAAATTTCTTAACATCACATCAAATAAACAACGAATCCATGCATCTCCTCTGCCTCTTCTTCGAGCCAGGGATTTCATTGAGCATCCGGAACTCCTTAGAAGGTAAGTTACCGGTGAAAAACTACAAATTTTTTTTAGTTGAAATTTAATTTTTTTAGATTATTTTAATATATTAATTTTAAAAATAATTTTTTAAAAATAAAAATTATTTTAATATATTTTAATTAAAAATATTTTAAAAAATAATTATAATCATGCTAAAACCCTGAGATGTCAAAAAAAAACACTAATGATTTTAAATTAATTTTTTAAAATTATATTAAAATAATAATTTTTTTATTTTTTAAAAATTATTTTTAATATGAGATATAAAAATAATATTAAAATATCAAAAAAAATATTAAAAATTATATTAATTTAAAATATAACAAATTAAATTTTTTTAAAATTTTTTTAAATTTCAAAAACAAACTGTTATACATCTATGAATTCATGACATCTCTTATTCTCTGGTTCTTCGAGCCCTCTTTTGACAAGTGAGACCAGAGAGACGAAAATATCCCTTTTCTTGCAGGTGAGAGTTCTGCCACGAATAAAATAGAGAGATCCTACCTGTTACAGATCCACAAAACCAGAAAACCAAATTAAAAAAAAAAAAACAAAAGGATAATTAAATAAATCAAATAACCACCATAACTTTCAATCTGGAAAACAAAGAAGATTTGAATAGAACATCGAACAAACAACTTTCTATTCTTCGTACAATTCAGTTTGCTGTTGTGTTTAGAAATTGAGAGTTAAGAAGGGGTCAGAAAAAAATTATAAATAAATAAATCAGACCATGAAAAAAAATAATTAATTATTTAAAATATTTAAAGCAATCTAGTTAAATTTAATTTTATAAATCTAAAATTGATAAACCCAAACCATAGCTAAGCAAATCAACCATCCCCATCCAGGCTCCCGCATGCCACATCCATCATTCTTTAATTTAAAAGGTCGACATTTTTTAACCATGACTTTATTTAAAATTATAATAATGATAATAACTGCAGTTTAAAATATTTTTATTACATTTTTTATTTTTTAAAATCAGTATATTAAAATAATTTAAAATTATATATAAAAAATTTTAATCAAAAAAAATTCAACGCGCTCAAGTACCTGTTCTGTGTTGCGCGTTCAAGTCCTGTTCTGTGTTGTGTTGCGCGTTTAAGTCCTGCTCTGTGTTGCGAGATGAGAGAGACGAAAATATTACATTATACCCTCTGAGAAAGCTAATCTAGTGTAATTACTGGCATACCCCTCTAGCTCTATCATCTAATCTTAAAGAATTCGCTACGTTCAACTGAAGGACAATTTTGTCTTCTCGCTATCGAGAGGTCGTGAGTCATTTTCATTGTTGATTGAAAAAAGAATACCCTACCATGTTTCGCCCCACAAGCATTCACAATGCACAACTTAAAAAAAAAAAAAATTTATTATTTTATTTTATTTTATTAATATGAGTTTTCGAGTAATTTGTATGTACCACGATTAATCTCACAGCCTACTAAACATCCTATAAACTCAGTAAATAAATAATACACCATAAAGATAATAGGCTTACTGAAAGAACCCACTAAAAACATGAAAGAAACAACCCTTCAGTCCCACTCTTATTAAAACTCGAACAGAAATTCAAGGGAAGGCAGGTTGCTCCAACAACAACTAAGCCATAAACTGCATGATCTTTTTTATTTTTTTTTTATTATTATTATATGTCATCATATTACAGTTGTGCTATTGTATATGTCATAACTTATTTATATTAAATTTTAAAGATATATTTTAAAGGGTCTTTACTGTTTTTAATATTTAATTTTTTAAAAAATATATAAAAATAATATTTGTAGAAAAAAAAACATAGTTAGAATATTAAACAATACTCTAAAATGCTTGATGAAAGTATTGTAGTATTTTTCATTTTGTTTTTGTTTTTTTCTGGTATGCTTTTTTCTTTTTCTTTTTTTTTTTGGGGGATTTACATGTTTTTTTCCAAAATTGTGTTTTTTTATTATTTTTATCATTTTTTTCACTTAATCTGAAGAACTTATTTCAAAACCCACAATCCAACAACAAATAATTTCATTTAAGTGAAACTAAACAACAAAATTAATAAAAAAAATCAAAACTAAAAACAAATAAAATTAATCTCATATAAAAGAAATCTCACATCAACATTCATATAATCATTCAAAATAAAATTTTAAAAAATAAAAAAATATAATACAAAAATCTTACCTTTGTTTAATTGTTTGATTGTGAGTGAAGTTGAGAAGAATAAATAAATAAATTTATAGAGCATATTAATAAAAAAAATCAAGAAGAGAAAAAAAAAAGATGAGAAAACTTACCTGCACATGAAGTATAAAAAAAAAATAGAAGAAAAGGAGATTAGGAGAGAAGAGGAAAAAAAATGTTGGTATTTTTTTACATGATAATAGAAAGAGTTGTGTTTATTATGAAGTGAAAGATTATAATTTTTTTATTAGGGCATTTTACATGTAGCTCTACTAATGAATAATTAAATATTAGTATTTGTAATAATTTTATTGGTGATTTTATCCATGTTATTTTATTTAAATTTTCAACTTAATAAAATATTTTTAAAAACCTCTAAATATTACCGACAACTTTTCAAAATAGTTAATGATTCCATCGATATTACTTAATTTAAACTTCTAATTTAATAAAAAAAATTGAAAAGCCCTTTAAATATCATTGATGACTTTTCAATCTGACGATGATTTTGTTTGTATTATTTAATTCAAAATTTCAATTTAATAAAAAAAATAGAAATTCTCTAAATATCACCGATAATTTTTTAATTCATCTATGATTCCGTATGTAATATTTTAAAATTTTAATTTAATTAAAATTTTTTAAAAACTCCTTAAATATCATCGATAATTTCATCTGTAATTTTTAATTTAATAAAAAAATTTCAGAAATTCTCAAGTATCATTGAAGACCTTTTAATCTGTTGGTGATTTCATCTGGAATATTTTAAGAAAGTAATTAATAATGCAATTAAGAGGTAAACACTTCTAGAATTCTCTGAAAAGTACTAATAAAATTAATTAATCGCTGATTCTATATGTAATTGTTAATATAAATACTGCAGTTAAAAACATCTTAGAATTTTCTGAAAAATACTAATAAAATTAATTAATCAGTAATTCTATATATAATTGTTAATATAAACACTGCAATTAAAAACATAATAAATAATATCAAGAAAAAGGGAACAAGATATTGAGATGTTTACATATGGATTTTACTGATAATATTTAATATTGTTGATAATGTCATTTATATAAATAATATATTATTATATTTTTTGTTTTTTATTATAATTTTTTTGTTATACATAGTGAGAGAATATTTTTTTTGATAAAATTAAGTGTAGCCCTAATCAAAACATTTAATTAGTGTTTTTTAATATATATTTACTAATTTTCTACAGTGAAGCTTTTCTAGGGTGTTTGTTACTGTAAACTAGACATTATTTTCCCCTGCAGGCACTGGGAGAACCCACAGATTTTTTGTAGGGTATGCTAGACGTCATATGACGATTGAAAAAAGAATACCCTACCCTACCATGTTTCGCCTCAAAAGCATTCACAATGCAAAACTTCAACCTTTTTTTTTAAATTATTTTTATTACATGTTATGCCATAACATATTTATATTAAATTTGAAAAATATACTTTAAAGTTTCTTTATATTTTTTTAATATTTATTTTTGAAATATATAAAAATAACATTTAAAAAAAAGAAGAAGCATAATTGGAACATTAAATAATACTCTAGAATGCTGGAGGAAAGCGGGGTAGCTTTTTTTATATTTTTATATTTTGTTTTTATTTTTTTTCCTTGTTTTTTTGTTTTTTTGGGTTTTATACTTTTTTTTAAGATTATCTTTTTTATTTTTATTTTTTAAAATTATATTTGTTAATTTTTTTAACTTAACCTGAAAAACTTATTCCAAAACTCACAATCCAACAACAAATAATTTCTTTTAATTAAAATTAAATAAAAAAATTAAAAAAATTCAACTAAAAACAAACAAAATTGATCCTATAACAGTATTTGTATTATTATTAAGAATAAAATTTTAAAAAATAAAAAAAATATAATGTAGAAAAAAATCTTATCTTAATTTAATTATGAGTGAAATTGAGAAGAGAAAAAAATCATAAAATATATTAATAAAAAAATTAAGAAGAAAAAAAAAAGAGATGAGAAGACTTACCTGCCTATGAAGGATAAAAGAAGAGAATGAAAGAGAAGGAGATAAGAGAGAAGAAAAAGAAAAAATTGAATGTTGATGTTTTTTACATGAGTAAAAAAAGACGTATTGATTGTGAAGTGAAAGATTCTAATTTTTTTATTATGACATTTTATATATGATTTTACCAATAAATAATTAGATATTAGTATTTTTAATAATCTTGTTGGTGATTTTATTGATATTATTTAATTTAAATTTTTAATTCAATCAGAAAAAATTTAAAATCCCTAAACATTACCAATAACTTTTCAATTCATTGGCGATTCCATCAATATTATTTAATTTAAACTTTTAATTTTATCAAAAAAATTATATTTTTTAAAATATACTAGAAATTGGTGATTTCTATATATAATTGTTAATATAAATAGCACAATTAAAAAATAAATAATTCTAATTTTTTTTAAATATACCAACGGAACTAATGCGTTGGTAATATTTTCTATAATTAATATAATAAATAGCAACAAGTTATTGACATATTTACATATGAATTTTATCAATATAATTTAATACTATTAATGATCTTATCTATATGAATGATATGTTATTATATTTTTTATTTTTTTATTACAAATCTCTTAATATACAACACGAGACAATATTTTATTGATAAAATTGAATGTAATCTACTGATCAAAACATTTAATCAGTATTTTTTTAAATATATATTTACCAATTTTCTACAGTGAAGATTTTCTAGGGTGTGTCACTCTAAACTAGACAATATTTTCCACTGTAGCAATTGGGAAAGCCCACAGATTTTTTGTAGGGTATGCTAGACGTCATCTGATGTATGCGGAGATTAATAGTTTGTTTATGACGAGCTCAACCAGTGGAATAGTATTAGCGAAAATGAGCTCAACCTACACGAGCTAGAGCTCTTAATCACTTTCTCGTGGTCCCTTAAACATATTCATAGATTAATGTCTTCATTAAAATAAATAATGGGAACTTACAAAGTGATGTTAGCGAGGTTATATTGCAGCGTAATGTCATGACCTCATTGGTTCCAAAACATTTCTTCATTAATGTCGTGCAAGAGTCTCATTTGAGCTTTTGTATAATAATGTTGCTGACAGTGCTAGATTAAATGATTGAGATTTTTATTTTCTTTAATTTAACCTGGGAAAATGTCAAGAACGAATTATATTTTAGTTCTTATGAGTAAATGCATAGTCATCAATATTGATAAGCTAGTCTGGAAGAAACAAGAAATTTGATTTTGTGTTGAATTAATTATTTTTAGTTTTTTATTATTAATCATGGATATCCAGTAAACTTGATTAATTTTTTAAAATTTTAAAATTAATAATTATAATAAATTTAAGATGAATAATTTTTAAAAAGTAAATTCAAAACCTGATTAATTACGATATACTACTCAAGATTAGCACTAAATTAATTATTAAATATTAAGAAGAGTGAGTGATTTAAGCGTTGCCATTAATTAAAACTCATCTAAAGCATGCTCCTATGGATTGATTGATATTGGATTTTGAATATTGGTAAGTTGTCCCATTATTGAGCTACACTTAATCATGCAGGTATTAGACAATTTGAGTCACGATTGGAATTGGATTAAGCACTAATTAGGGATATATTCAGATAATATTTTAAAACAGTCAAACACCTCCGTTGCTGGAGCCCTACATATTATTCCGAAATACCGCTGTCTGGCACGATCCGGGCAAGGGGGTGGAATCTGAGCCTGACACCTCTTGAAGATTTCAAACACTGATCTGCTAGTTCTGTCATGGAATTGAAAGAGAAAGAAGAAGATGCCAGAAATATTTGATAAACAAAGAGACAATTTAGTGTTGGGCTATTGGACCTTCCAAAAGGCTAAAGTATAGTGTTGGGCATCCAATTTCATTCTTAGCTTAATTAATATTCTTAGGTATGCTTATAGGTGAACAATTCTTCTGGGCCTATTACTTTATTTTTTATTTTATTGTTATGAATGTGAACAGAATATTAATCTCAAGGGAAAGAAAAATAGGAACAGAAGCCCAGTCGTGTACACCGGCAATTAGGGGATACAAATAGAGAGGCCTAATATTTAAATTTAATCCTAGTCGTGTAATGACATCCCTGAATCCTTCTACGCAGGGCTGGCTAAAGAAAATTATACAGGGATCATTCTTAAAGAAACCAGGCTGATCCGGTGGGGGCGGTATAAATTTTAAGGGTTTCCTTGAGCAATATTTTTTTGTATTTACTCAACGTCTGCCAGCATTACCGAATCAAATGAAGTGCTTAAAGCTTCTGAGGGTCCGTTTTCGAGGCTTTGTTACATGATAAGGTTGACAATGGCAGAGATTTTTGTTTTCTTAAACTGAACTTGGAAAATTGTTGAGTACGGATCATATCCTTGCTATATATTAATTAATAACCTTCCTAAGCACGCTTAATGCAGGTCTTAGACAAATTCAGGCCTGATTTCGTTTATTTTATTTCATTTCTGTTAAAGTATGAAATTGATATCAGACCTGGCACCTGCCCCTTCAAAAAGTTAGTCTCAGTTCTTCAACTATACACATTCGAGTGTTTATACTTTATTTTTTATGAGCAAAATACATGAAGCATGGTAGAGGCAACACAAGCAACCCAAAGGGTTGACAGAGGAACAGATACAGCATACAAAAACAAAAGAAACCAAGCAAAACTGAACCACGGACATCACAGGACTGTGAATTAAAACAAACAGAGACCATGGCCTTCCCATTTCCATCTCCAGAACATATTGCACCTCAGTAGCCATATACAATTCCTTAGAAGAAGCAAACTAGAGAGAGCAGTCATATCAGTTTCAACTCACATACTCTATTCATGATTCCTTGTTTAGCAAGGTTAAGTGCCAGCCATATGATTTGCCTCTCTTAAAACATGACATTAAGATATAGAACCCAACCGAGCAGAGTAACGAGAAGAAATTGGAATGAAGAGATCATGAATTAATCTCCCCATGATCTAACAGGTTGTTTGTTCATCCAGTTTACAACAAAAACAAAACCAGTCTTAATAATAAATTTCTTTCCAAATAAATGAGAAAATCTTGTTAATTTTATATCCTCGTACATCTGGAGGGGGAGTTTGCTGGAAACGGTGCTTGCTTATAAAAGCCTGATCATGTCTTTTCTAGCCCAGTGTGAAACATGAAATTCAGGTATATAGCATAGTAAAAAGCATTACTAATAAAGTAGATTTTCTTCTTGATCAAGTACAAATTAAATAGGAACGCCTACTTTTTACTTTTTAGAAAAAGTAAGGTGAGTAGTTTTAGTTTAGTTTAGTTTTTATTAAAAAAATAATTAAATTAAAAATAAAAAAGAAATTGAATCAAAACTGGTTTAAACTAACCGGTTTTGGTTTGATTTGGTTTTTAGAATAAAATCTATTTTTTTTGGGTTGGCTAAATTTTTTGGTTTGATTTGATTTTAGCTATATTTTTTATGGTTTGACTTGTTTTTTTGTTTGGGTTCGGTTCGATTTTTCAGTTTTAGGCTTATAAAACTGAACCGAACAAGTTGATTTTTTACGATTCAGTTTTTTAATTATTTTTTTCTAATTGTTTTTAGTTTTATTGGTTTTTTGGTTTTTTTGCTTACCCTTAAAAAAACAATAGACATCCATATTCATTAAAATTAATTTTTTTTATTGAGTTTTTAACATTTTTGTTTTTAGTAATCATGATGTTGATCAGTTTAATTGGATATACCTCAACTAAGCTAATACAACTATGAAATTAATAATTAGGTAAAGATATAAAATTTATGATACTTAAAGTAGTAATTTTTAAGGAGAAAAAACAAACTTAAAACTTAATGATTCCATTCGATATTAAGTTTTTAACATCTTATTGTAATCTCTACTTGATTCAAACTTTATTCACTCGAAGCTATGTTAATGGGATGGCAATTTTACAGATTCATTGGTATATATCTAGCGTCACTCACTCAATAGTCTTTTATAAACAATTGACATGGAAACAACGAAGCACCTACTGATTT